TTCTCACATGCACATTTTCATGAGAACCTTCACAAGCATTCTCCTCTATTCTTCCCACGCTAATCCTTCTGAAAAGTGCCTGCACTGTCACTATAAAAGCAAGTCATTCCATCTCCAGAAAGCAGCAAATCAGCTGAAATGTTATCTGAAAGCTGGTAAATTCCACAGAATTGCTTTTGTAAAAAAAAAAAAAAAAATTATAATGAAATGACAGTAATTGCTGCAGTTTGTCTTCAGTGTGGATTTTTCCCCCAGACACATCCTGCCTGGATTAGATTCTTTGTCTACAAAATCTTGCTCTTACAAAGTCTGTACTACACATTTAAGAAAAAAAATCCATCCATACCTCACTGTTTAATAACCTCAAAGAATGATGCATAATGTTCTTGGAGAAAAAAAAAATTTAAATGTTTCATCTAGAAATGTGAACGGCTGAGTTCTCATCTTGTTATCTCAATGACATGAGAACTTTGCATTAAGGACTCATATCTTTCAACTGTTACGCATTTTTATGCTTCTGGTTTCATTTCACTAAATATCAGGCAATTTGTTTTGCCTGCTGTAAGTATAGAAGCTGTCCCTCTAAAATAAAAGTTCAAGCAGATGTGCATGAAAGAATAGCAGCAGTGCATTAGCAAAGCATGCCTCTGAAATCGTCACAGCACTTTATAAACATTGCGCTGGGCCCTGTAGCTTTCCTACTGACTGTGCTTACATCAGCAAATTCAAAGACTTCAATTCTTCACGACTGCTCCAAGTTGTCCCAGCAGCAGTATTGTCACAGCTGCTATTAGAATCGTATATGCTTTACCTTACCAGAGATCGAAACCAAAACTTAGCTGTGGTAAAGGGAAAGTCATAAATGTAGGGGCCAAAGAAAAGTCCTGCAGGGTCAGCTGTTGCATCTGTTTTGGGATGTGGGCCTGGTACCTGTGTTGTTTTGGATGCAGGCTACTGAATTTTCTTTCACTGGAAGCTCAAAAAACACAGGGCTAGCATGCCAAATCCTGCCGAGGCTGCAGGTCTCTGGTCACTGCAACACTTCCAAGGAGAAGAACACCCCATTACACCATCATCCTCCCAAACCAAGTGGAATATATATTTGTAAACATGTGTGTATTTGTGTTCCTTAATGACAAATACAGAAAGCTTATGTTATCACTAGCAGCCTCCACAATCTATTCCCTTATGTTTTAAAATCACTATCTATTTGAACTTAAGGGCAAGAATGTTAATTCAGCTGCAGTACACATCAGATCAATATTAAATACCCCTAATTAGCTTTATTCCTATGTCTAAAACCATTAAAACAAAGACCTACAGCATATACAGTGCACACTTGTTTAGTAACACACAGTGAAAAACAATCCAGAGGGACAGACATAACCTTGATATTTTAAATGAACTCTATTAATCTCTATTTATTTTACCTTCTACTGCTACTAGTAGCAGACACCAACATCAAACAATTGTAAAGGGGAAACAGGAAAAAACACTTTACTTCTCCCATTACTTTCCCTCATGTGTTTTGCAGAACTTTTTATGTAAAGAGTTACACCGATGCCCTCCTGTAGCCAGGCTGGGTTAGTAATTGTACAAGTATGCACTAGGTATTCTCTAATGAGAATAAGGAAAAACACTGAAAGATAAAGAAATCTCATTGCAAAGCCACAAAGAGGCTCTAAGAATATTATTCATGACCTGAAGGTACTCTCCAATTGTTTTAGAAGACTGCTTATATTTCTGGTTGATTGTACCTATTCATGACTGTTTAGTGATAAAAATACAGAACACTTGCCTCTGTGTAGTCATTTTTCTTTAAGTAGGGAAACCTACAAGCAAGAGTAGACTGGAAATTGAATTGGTTTTGTCTCCTGGGAAATTAATTAAAACACTCTAGGCTACAACCGTGTAACACTGCTTGCACTAGTATGAAGAAGATGGACTGTAATGTTTCCCGGAGTACTCCAATAAACACTTTCACTGTATTTGGCAGACATGTCCCTAAAAACTCTTTACTTGATCTAAGATACAAAGTTTTACAAAATATATGAGATCATCTATGGGCAGTAGGTTGAATGCAAACACAGCAAGCATTATATTTTTTTAAATGACCTGAGAGAGGGAGTACAGTAAGTAATCTATAGCGGATCAGTTGTAGTCATCACTTTGTGCAGATTTTACTCATGGAGATTTCCTTATGATAATCAGTAAATTGATTTATACTCTTGAACAGGTTTAGGGCTTGGGTCATTGGAAAAATCAATACCACTTTCTATCTTGGCAACTGCTCATCAAGCAATTTTGTTAGAAAGGAAAACAGGAGGTGAGTTGTTGACATATATAAGTGATGAAGAGCATCTCTAAATTTTTTTAATCTAGTGAGAGAATCCACATCTTCTTCTAATCAGATGCAAAATTTAAGTGAAATAACACAGCTTCACTGAATTTTGAACTGTTTGCTTTACTGATTCATTAAGTCAACAACTGCTGGCTTATAAGCAGGTGCTACAGCTCATGTATCTGACAGAAGTTGTTAGGAGACAGCTTTGGCTGGCTCCTGCAACTAATTTCTTAAGCACATAAAAGCAGAATAGCCATCCCTCCCTTAGCAGGGCATGTAACTGAGAAAGTAGTTTCCTCAGTACTGCTCTAGTCCTGGCTATGCTGTGAGGCACTACCTAGGTTGCTGTACATTTTGGTGCTTCGGCTTTCTATTTCTGTTCTTTTTCCTAGGTTACAGCTTTGGGTCTTATTGCTTAAATCCACTTGTTATGCTGGTGTGTTTCCTCACAGCAATCATGTTTTTATTGCTTCCTATAAAAGTGTCTGAGGTATTTGTGTGTCTTTATTGACTATAAAAGAAGTTTAAGCGATGAGCCTAAAATGTCTTGAGCAATGGATAGCTATATCAAGATGAGATAAAACGCTCATGGGATATTTATAGCTTCTAGGTTACCAGTATACTTGGTCTACATGCCTTGAGAAAGAGAATGCTTTAAAAAAAAAAAACCAAAAAACAACCAAAAACCAGCAAAAGCTATGCTATTACAATGGTTGGTTGGTTGTGGGTTGTTGGGCTGGGGTTTTTTGGGGGGGGGAGGGGGGGGTTGGTCTCTATTATACCTGTAAGAAATCCACAGGATGCAACAGGGTAGTTGAAAGAACGCACTTTGTTCTAAAAGCAGTTAGCATAGGAGTTCAAATAGTTGTGTGTAAGCTATGTGCTACTCTCACATGACCTATGAAATGTGTAAGCCACGCCTGCCTCTTGAAGTGTTGTCTGTGAAAGCGCTCTGAAAGCCAAGTCATGTAACACGAGTTGGCTTTTTTTCTATCATCTTAACAAATAACCGAGCTAAGTTTCTGAGGACCGACCTGGGGCTGTTGTATGTGCCTGTACGCAGCTTCTACCACGTTCTGCGACTCCGTGCCCGCAGGGAAGGCGAGCACCTGGGCTGAGGGCTACAGCCATCGCCTCAGCAACCCCCGTGGCAGGCTGTGCCACCAGCGCCACGGGCCAGGGCCAGGGCCAAGCCGAGCGGCGCGGCTCGGCCCTCAGAGGGACAGCTTAGCTCCGTCGGTGTTGCAGGGACAAACGAGAGAGTTCAG